GGATCTACCCACCGTGGAATCATTGCTCCTGCAGATGGTAGAGCAATTTAATTGCGATTCCACGTTTGTTTGCTTGGGAATTGCCGTTGCCGCCCCGCCCCGTGTCATCTTTGTCAGATAAGACTACGCGCGCGCAATTTTTATTACTATTGTCAGCTGCTTTTTGCGAGACATTGTACCAAGTCGACACGCGCGCGTCGTCGCGCGAGCATGGTGGAATTGTTCAAAGACGTAGTACAGATCGTTAGGACTTCAAAAACGAGATTCCCGCACACATAAAACAATTTTGGTGTTGCAACATGAGTTTCTGAACAACTGCCTGAGCGGGCACGCCCTTGCGAATCGGGGTGAAAACCGTATCATATTCATCAATCGCCAAACGCAGCCAAGCGAGCCTCTCGCGCGGGCGCGTGTTGTCAAAATTCGAACGCCTTTGCGCGCTTGCTGTGGTACCACGAGCCTGGTCAAATGATACTATGCGGGCGACTGGCGCTCGTCGGCCGCGCGCGCATGTTGAAATCCCCGTGAGAAATTTCCATCATCGACGCGTGGACACCATCATCGCCGCCAGCGTGATCAGCGGGGTGGGCGCCGTGATTGCCCTTGCCGTCCTCGTCGTCACCATCTTCACCAGCATTGCCTGTATCATCATCGTTTCTGCGATTGTCGACGTCGCCATGATACCGCCCCCCCCGAGTCACCAACTGGCAACCGAAGTCCCCGCGCATCAGCGCGGCCTGTGGGACGCGCTGGAAGACCCCACCGGTCAGCGCCATCACGGCCGCGCCGGTCACGCCAAACGGTGTTGGTTTTCGAGCGAGCCTGCTCGCGCGAGCGCAGCCGCAGCGATGCGCCAGCCAGCGCCAAGCGGTCATCGTAATCGCCGCCGCATTACCTCTGCATACCAATTTTCGGTGGGTGGGATGATTGCGCGAGCAGTAGTGTTGACAACATCAAATTCGGCAAAGTGAATGAATGCCTTTGTTTACGCGGAGTTCAGATCTATCACCCACGCTCCCCCGATTTTTTCGTTTCTCGTTGGGATTCCACAAACTACACATGTTTATGCCCATCCGCTTGTTTTGAACGCGAGGTCGTACCTTCCCAACCAGGAATTTATCCCCCCCTCGCTTCACCCCTGTTGGCAAAGTTACACGTGAGAACATCCCCATCAGTGGAATTTTGATTTTTTTCGCAGGTGCCTCACTCGGCCTTCCTCCCGCTTGAGTGGTATTCGAATGTACGTTCTAGTCCACTTGAGTTAATGTTAGATGTTCCACTCTCAATAGGTGTCTCTTTTTTGTTTCTCTCTCTCTCTCTCTTTCCCTATACATATATGTATTAATATATTTCTCTCTCTCACACTCTTCCTCTGTCTCTTTCTCTGTCTCTCTCCTGTTCTGGTGTATTGTCTTGGTTTATGTATCTCTCTCTTTCTCTACTCCTGTCTTTGCACACATACATACATATATATATATACATGTATAGTTGTACCACTCCGTGATACCTTCTTGTACGCATTTGCACATCTATATATATATACATGATCACATACGTACTGCACTGTCTCTTGATGTATCCATGTGTCTCTTTTTTTGACTCTCTCTGTCTCTCTCTATTTTTTTTCCTCTCTCTCTCTCGTCCTCTCCCTTTCTATCTCTCTATATTCCGCCTCTCTCAGCCTTTCTTTATCATAGCTATGTGGTCCTCTCTCTTACTCTCTCTCTCTCTCTCTGTCTCTCTCTCTCTCTCTCCCCCTCTCTCTATATCTATACATCTTTCTCGGAGGTCGGGGGTGACATCCCAGTGATATGGGGACTCCCCCCCACTGGGAAATCGGTTTCGGGTTCGCGTTCGTGTCGTGCGTGCTGGCTAGGCTGAGCTGTGTGGGCAGGCAAGAGGAACGGACCCGCCGTTGCCAGGGCGACGCCGAATCAAACGTTGCTGTCCCCAGGACTGGCCAGCAGTGATCCTGTGGTGTCTAGATGGTGTCCCGACGGTGTCCCGATGGTGTCCCGATGGCGTCCCGTGGTGTCCCGTGATGGCCCTTGGTGGCCGCTAGGGCAATTTCAGTAAAAGCACCGATTGGGGAATAGTGCTATGCGCTCGCGCTCCTTTATGACAAATCACTTTGTTTTGCGATCCCCGTGCAATGCAAAAACATCCCTGGCGAAGAACCCAACCAGTTGCAGTTGCCCGTACCGCAGTTGTGGGTGTCGTTTTCTGTGGAGCTCCCTCTTGGGGCCACGAAAAGCCGTGCCGGGCGTGGGAACCGCATGCGAGTTCCGCCACAGACTTCCGATGGAGGTCCCTCTGGGGCCACGAAACCCCGTACTAGGCGGGGGAAACGCATGCGAGTTCCGCCACTGGGACCTTCGATTGAGCTCCCTATGGGGCCGTTGTGCTGGGCGCAGGAACTGCATGCGAGTTCTGCCAGTGGAACCTTCGGTGGAGCTCCATCATCTGTGGCCGCGAAAAGCTGCACTGGGCGCAGGAACCGCATGCGAGTTCCGCCAGTGGGGCCTTCGGTGGAGATCCTTCGGGGGTCACGAAGCGCTGTACTGTGTGGGGAAACCGCATGCGGACTGCGCCACTGGGACCTTCGGTGAAGGTCCCTGTGGGGCCACGAAACGCTGCATTGGGCGCAGGAGCAGCATGCGTACTGCACCACTGGGATCTTCGGTGGAGCTCCCTTTGGGGCCATGAGACGTTGTACTTGGTGGGGGAGCCGCATGCGGACTGCGCCATTGGGACCTTCGGTGGAGGTCCCTGTGGGGCCACGAAACGCTGCATTGGGCGCAGCAGCGGCATGCGAGTTCCGCCACTGGGATCTTCGGTGGAGCTCCCTCTGGGGCCACGAGACGTTAACTGGTTGGGGGAAACGCACGCGGACTGCGCCATTGGGACCTTTGGTGGAGGTCCCTCTGGAGCCACGAAACGCTGTGCTGGGCGGGGGAACCGCATGCGGACTGCGCCAGTGGGACCTTCGGTGCAGCTCCGTCTTGGGCCACAAAACGGTGTACTGTGTGGGGGAGCCGCATGCGGACTGGGCCACTGGGACCTTCGGTGAAGCTCCTTCTGGGGCCACGAGGAGCTGTCCTGGGCGGGGGAACAGCATGCGATTTGCGCCACTGGGACCTTCGGTGGAGGTCCCTCTGGGGCCACGAAACGCTGCACTGGGCTGGGGAAGCGCATGCGGACTGCACCAGTGGAACCTTCGGTGGAGCCTCCTGTGGGGCCACGAAATGTGATGAGGAGAATGATGATGATGTTGCTGCTGATGATGATGCTGCTAATGATGATGATGATGCTGATGCTGATTATGATGCTGATGCTGATGATGATGATGATGGGTGGAGTCAGGATGTGGAGGAGGGAGGAGGGGGATGAGGACGAGGAGGAGTAGAAGAAGGACACGGAACGTGGGGCGCTGTTTAAAACGAGGACCCAGCACCACAGGATGGTTTGGAACGACACGCGCGCACCGTCGCGCGCGCGTGTCGGAAATGTTCGACAACCTCGCGTTTCGTACGGATGTCACGTTCGAGCCCCCGAAAACATATAACAAACAGTGAGTTTGCATTGCTGCTGTTCAAACAAATTCTGCGCGCGAGATCGTGCGATTTCTGATGGGCACCATCGGTTGTGCCACCATGTTCATCATACGCGGCCAAGCGGGCCTCTCGCGCGCGCATGTCGAAATCATTCCAGCTCTTTTTCGCGCTTTTGTTGGGTGGGCTCGATATTTGCCAATTGCGACCATTCGGGCCACATGCGCGCGTCGGCCGCGCGAGCATGTCGAAAACCCCCCACAACCCCCATCACCGACAAGTGAACACCATCATCGTCATCGGCGTGGCCAGCCTCGGCGCCGTCCTTGGCCTTGCAGTCGTCATCCTTGTCAGCGCCACCATCCTCGTTACTATCGCCATCGTGTCTGCCGTTGTCGACGTCACCATAGTATCGCGCCTGTCCGAGTCACCAACTCGTGCTGAAGTGCCCGCGCGTCAGCGCGGCCTGTTGGAAGCGCTGGGAAGCCCCCAGCTGTCAGCGCCACCGCGGCTGCGTCGGTCGCGCCAAACTAGCTTGCCGCTCTGCTCGCGAGCCTGCGCGCGCTAGCGGGGCCGCAGCGATCCGCCAGCTATCGCCAAGCAGTCAACGCAATCGCCGCCGTAGTGTTTTGGCAAGTCAGGTTTTGGGTAGGCGGAAGATTGCGCGAACAGGGGATTTGACAACATCATGTTCGGCAAGGTGAGTACCCTCATCTTTCAAAATTAGGATCTACCCCTTGCTGCATCGCCTCCCGCTGGGATGGTACAATGTAAATACGATTCTGCCGAATTGTTGAGTTTACATTGGAACCCATGCCATCCCAAGCGGGCCGTAATAGCCCCCACCCACCTCCCTTCATTTGTGTAGGTTGCACCACGCTGGTTGCATCATCTATACATGACATATACACTTCTAAATTGCAGAGCGCTGCTTGCACAACATAATATATTGCAGGGCGTTGCACAACCTGCACTTCAATGTTGCTCCACAACGATTGCACCATACAGATGGCACATCATATATTGTACAGCGTAGATTGCACAACATAGAGTGCACCACGTCGGTTGCACCACACAGGTCGCTATATACGCTCTTAATGTAAAAAGATGTGCGTATATAGGATTCGACTTTAATTTGTATATGTATATATATATAGATCTGTTTACAAGTATCCACATATATGTGATTATCGACATTGCACAACATAGATGGCTCGAAACACATCGTTTGGGGTCCACGCTGGCTAACAGTGGTTAGGGGCCGGCCATCACTTAAGCAGTGACATGTCGATGGTCCGCGCGGAGTTATGGAATGACGCTGGCCCTCCCTGGCGGCGCCTCCGGCGCCGCCCCTGGCGCGCTCCGCGCTCTGGGGGGGTCCGCGCAGATTTTCGAAATCCGCATCGACCTCCGAGAGGTCCATGTTTGTGCTGAATGCTCTTCCTCCAGGAGCTGCGCCTGCTGTCATCGAGCTGGACGGCGGGCGTCGATGGCCCCAATGGCTGGCAGGTGGACCTCACGAAGGCCACGGGCGTGCCCGGGGTGGTGCTCGGGGCCATCCTGGCCGGGAGGTGCCGGGACCAGTGCCTCGTGGTGACCCCGGAGCGCCAGCGGCGCTTCTGCGAGTCCCTGCTGTCCCAGTGCTCCTCGCTGTGGTTTGCGTTCGACGACTGCGGGGTGGGCGCCGAATGCGCGCGCGCCATCGGCGCCGCGCTGCTGCTCAGCGACCGCTTCACGTCGCTCAGCCTGGCGACCAACGCTCTGGGCGACAAGGGGGCGGCCGCGATAGCGGAGATGCTGGCGGAGCACACGTCGCTCGTGCACCTTGACGTCTCCGCCAATGGCATCAGCTGGGCCGGCGCAGGCCCTCTGCTCGAGGCACTGCTGGTGAACCGATCGCTCACCCACCTGGACATTTCCTCCAAGTCGCACGGATCCCGCAACCGCGTCGAGAGGAGGAATGCCGCCGCGCTGGAGCGCATGCTGGCCACCAACCCCGTGCTCGCGAAGCTATGCCTCAGCAGCGTATGCCTAGGCACCGATGGCCTGGTGGGCGTGGCGCGCGGCCTCACGATGAACAGCACTCTGCTGTCGCTGGACCTGAGTGGCAACGACATCGGCACGAGGGGGGCGCTGCTGCTGTGCGATGCGCTGGCCAGCTGCGGGCTGGAGGAGCTGAACCTCTCGGACAACAGGATCGGGGACGAGGGGCTGCAGGGCATCGGCGACAAGTTGGGGGCGCTTCCGAGGACCCCGCAGGCGGCGCTGGAGTCGGGGGCCTGGGACCGTTCCGCGGAGGCCGCCAGCGGCGCTGTGTCCAAATACTGCGAGGCCGTCGGGGAGCTGCCGCGGGCGCTACGGCAAGGCTCGCGGCAGCGGGTGGCCGACGCCACAGAGGCCGCTCTTGCAGGCGCCCGCGCCGCGCAGGTGCGCGTCCCCAAGCTGCGCTTCCTCGCCCTAGCGAACAACGGCGGCTCTGGCGCGGGCGTGGAGCGCATCGGCGAGGCACTGAGGACGAACCCTGCGCTGGAGAGGCTGGTGCTCGACGGGTGCGAGCACAGGACCGTCGAGCCGCTGATGGCTTCGCTGCCCGTGAACGCCTCCTTGAGGAGCCTGAGCCTGGGCGACTGCAGGCTGAGCTCGGCCTGGATCGTAGACCTGTGCAGCGTCTTGCCCTTCAGCAGGTCGCTGGAGTCCCTGTCGCTGAGGGCCAACCACGTTGGCCCCGAAGCGGCTGCTGCAATCGGCGCGGCCCTCGCCACCGACGGGCTGGTCCTGAGGACGCTCAACCTCAGCTCCTGCCACCTCAGAGATCCCGAGGGCGCCACCATCGCCCGGGGCCTCGCAGGCAACGTGCGCCTCGAGAACCTGAACCTGCGCAACAACGCCCTGCAGGAGCCGGCGGCGCTGGAGATCCTGGACGCAGTGCGTTCGAACACGACGCTGACGCAACTGACTCTGGAGCTCAACGCCATCGACTTCCGCCACATCGGGCAGGTGAAGAAGCTGCTCGAGAGGAACCTCCAGCTGCGGCGCCAGGCGCGGCCAGAGCAGTACAGCAAGAGGCTGGGCGAGCTGCTCGAGTGCAAGAGGGAGGTGGACCTCTTGTCGGGCACGCTGGAGCGGAATCACGCGATGAAGCGGCGGGTGCAGATCAAGCAGGCCGCCGCGCTGCAGACCCTCGAGGACGCGCGCGAGCACGAGGCCCGGCGGCAGCGGGAGCTCGAGCTCGCTCTGGCGGACGTGCTGTCGAGCAGGGAGCTCGTCGACAAGGAGCTCGCCGCCGTGTCCGACCAGCTGGCGGCCCTGACGGCGGACAACCAGTACGAGGCCAGCCAGCACCGGGCCTCCATCGAGGCCACGCGGGGCCAGATCGGCCAGGCCCAGAAGCACCTGCGGCAGACCAGGGCGCGCCTGGAGGCCTTCGAGGAGACCGCGGGCGCCGAGCTCGCCCTCCTGGGCGAGGAGCTCCGGCGCGCCGAGCGCGGCAGGGACAGCTCTGCGAGCATGGCCTCAGCGGCCCAGCGCCACCTCGAGAGCTTCACCACCTCTCTCCGCGCCATCGAGGGCGACCTCGCGGGGGGCGCGGACCCGCGCCAGCGGCGCGTCGCGGCCCCTACCCCTGTGGAGCCCGCCGCCCCCCGGAGCGCCCCGAGGCCGCCCCGCGCGGCCGCGGGGCCCTCCCCCTCCCAGACCCCCGAGGTCGTGACTCGTTCACAGCGTCGGCACCCCGAGGCCTGGACCCCTTCCCCAGCACGGGTGTTTCCCATCCTTCAGATTCGTTTCCAGACGACCTCCCCGAGGCCCGGGAAGGGCCCCCGGAGGCCCCGCACGCAGAAAAGCCTCCCGCCGTGATCCTTTCACCACGCGAGGGGGTCTGGCCTCCTCGCGCACCGGCGCGGCTGCGCAGCCGCCCCCGCACGCCGCGGCGGCCCGGTCCACCCCGCGCGTGGGCCCGCCGCTCGCGGCGGCGCCGGCTCGCCCGCGGTCCGCCCACGCCGGGCCGCGGCAGCGGAGCGAGAAGCCGAGGGGCGGCGCCCAGGAGCGTGGGCGGGGAGGGCAGCCATGCAGGCGAGGCGCGTCGAAGAAGATCACCGAGCGCGTTCCAGTACTCGCAGGGTGCCGAGTCGCAAACGTCAGAGAAAAATCATATGTTTGCTTCGATGAAATCGTATCGTAGATCCCCCGCGGCGGATCCAGTCCATTTGCGAGTAGCTACCTTGCGAGTAGTGGAACGCGCTCGTCGAGCAGAGGTCGGGTTCCTTGGGGTCCGGGCGCTGCCATCTTTTTGCTCAGCGGACGTGTTTTCGCCCGGTTCCAGGCTCGGGCTTGACGATAGCGCAGTCCGCTGGCTGGGGTCTGGCCGTGGCTCTGGTCGTGATCTCTCACGGGGTTGCATTTCACCACCCACCAAGCCACCCCAACCCAATCCGAAGGCGTCAATTTGCCCTACATTTCCAGTGGGGGGAGGTCGGGGAACATATTGAACAAAAACACATATGGAACCCGTAACCCCCGCTACCCGAAATACAGGCCTCCGGGTCGGGCAGGCGTGGTCTGGTCGGTATGTAGTCAGTATCTGTTTTGAGGCGTCGCATCCCAGGGCTGCCAGCAAGTGCCCTTCTCCGACTTCTCCGACGTGTCTTATCTCCCTTGGCTGCCCCAGGGGCTCGCGGAGAGCCCCGGGGGCACCTCGGCAAGCTCGAAGCTCGGCGACCAACGTGTGCCCCTGGATGTCGCATGCACAGTGGAGGCCCATGCCAAGGAGCACCCTGCTTGCCTCCAGGAGGCTGGAGGAGGAGGAGGAGGAGGAGGAGGAGGAGGAGGAGTGGGGGCCCATGCCAAGAAACACCCTGCTCGCCTCCAGGGTGCCCTGGGTTTCTTGGGTTTCGATGGTTCTGCTTTGGCGATCGTGACGCTCCCACACCCCAACAAATCCTTGGACGTCCCGGGGTCGAAGGATTGGGTTTCTTGTGCAAGGTTTTTTGTGGACTGGCCTCCACTGTCTAGCAAGCTGCCCTGTCGTACGTGCCTGCTGTATCCACGGCCTCGAGGCCTGGACTCCTCGGCCGCGCCCCCGTGGATGCTTACAGGGGGCGGCCTTGCGCGGATGCCCCGCGCGGAGCATATCCACGGCATGGCGCATCCGCGGTGTCGCGCCTCGGTGCGCAGGCCTCGGCTTACATGTTCCAACCGACTTCAGTTTTGATTTCCATAGCGAATTCCGAGCACCAGGAATATACCGAAATTGGAGGGCTTTCTCGTGTCGGGGCTTGGGAGGCGATTCTCTGTCGACACTTCGCCTGCGTGTCGGGCAGGCACTGTTTCGACACTTTCCCTGGGCTCTCGATGTGGTCCTCAAGTGCGATGGGAACAACAGAAGCCTCGGCGGGGATGTGGATGTTCGATGCTCACGGCAGGACCCCGCGGCGCGGACGCACTGAGGGGCCGCCCGGGGGGCGGCGCCGAGCTGCGTGCGGGGCGGGGCTCGGAGCTTCCTCGGCGGCTGCGGCCAGGGGCGGGTCGCGTCTTCTATGGCCCGCCCCTGGGCTGTCCGACCTGTCTGCCCCCGCCGAAGGTTCCGCGCCGCCCCCTCCGCGCGCGCGCGAATTTGGCCGCCTCCGCGAAAGCAGCGGGGGCCCCTGGATCGCGCGACCTGCTGGCGTCGGAGAGTGGATCGCTCTCATCCCCCTCCTCCTCCTCCTCCCCCTCCTCGTCCTCCTCCTCCTCCTCCTCCTCCTCCCCCTCCTCCTCATCCTACTCCTCCTCTTCCTCCTCCTCCTCCTCCTCCTCCTCCTCCTCTCCTCCTCCTCCTCCTCTTCCTCCTCCCTCCTCTCCCTCCCTCCCTCCCTCCCTCCCTCCCTCCCCCCCCCTCCCCATCCCTTCCCCCACCTCCCCCACCACCACTCCATCATGGGCTCCTTATCCTCCCTGTTTCCCCCTCTTCCCCCACCCTCCTCCGTCCCTCCTTCCTCCTTCATTCACCTCCCCTTCTCCCCCAGTCCCCCCTGCCTCCTCCCGATCCTCTCCCTCCTCGCGCTCCTCGCCTCACAGCCCCGCCAGTCGCTCTCCATTCGCGCCGCCCGATCACGCGCTTCGCCACCGCCGCCCCCTTATGGGCAGGTTGTCCAGCTGAAGCAGCAGGTGGACCGCATGACCTCCAAGGCTCCCTGCAGAGGGAGGGGGGAGGAGAGGGAGTCTCTGTCTGACAGATCCTGTCGGCCAGGCAAGGGTTCTCTTTGTCTCTCTCTCTCTCTCTTGTGCGTTCTCTCTCTCTCTCTCTCTCTCTTCCCCCTGTCTCTCATTATCCTCTCTTTCGTGACGTCTCTCTGTCTGTCTCTCTGCCTGTATGTAAACACATGGTATCAGCCACTGCGGACACCAAGCAAGACGTTTCTAGTAACAAGTGCTGTGCAGTCTGTGTTGTGCGATCAGTGCGATGCCATTTATGGGGACACACTCTGTTGTGCAATCTGTATGGGGCAATGTTTGTGGTGCACCCGGTTGCACCCGATGTTTGCAATGTAGGTTGCGCAGTCTATGTTGTTCAGTCGATGTGGGGCTCTATAGGCCTGTCGTGGTACAAACATCCCACCCACCCACCCGCAATTTGGTTTGCAAAACCCATGCGGCGGTGATTGCGAGAAGTGCCTGGCGCGCCAGCCTGCGCATGACACGCGCGCGACCGACGCGGCTGCGGTGGCGCGGACCGCTGGGCACAGACCATCGCGCACTTCAGTGCAAGTCGGCGTCTTGGGCGGGCGCGGTATCATGGCAACGTCGACAACGGTAGACAGGATGATGCTAGCAACGATGCTGGTGACGGTGCTGGCAGCGACGACGGCACGGCCAGTGACGGCGCCGATGCTGATCACGCCGGCGACGATGACGGCGTCCCCGCGTCGGTGATGAAGGCTTGGAATGAGTTCGACATGCGCTCGCGGCCGACGCGCGAAAGTGGCCGCATGATATTGTTTGACGCGTCGTGCCCCTCCAGCGCGCGTGCTTTGGCGTTTGAATGACTTCCTCATGCGGCGCGGAGGCCCGTTTGGCAGAATTCCACGACATGTTTTTGAACATAACCCCGTGTTTTTACATAGTACAAGAAACCAGGAGCCCGGGCGCAAGTTTTTCTTGAAAGCGGATGTTGCGAAACCATGTTCTCTTGTGCGTCGGGACAGTTTGTTTTTAAATCACTGAGAAACCGAAGGTCTTTGACGGATTCCGACATGCGCGCGTCGCTCGTGCACTTCGCTTTTTTGTGCAAAGGATTCTCGCGACAGCACGCGCGCAAGGGCGTGCATGCACGCGTGCGCGAAGTCCCTTTGGTAGCACGTTACGAACATGTGTTTAAACAGTTCGTGGGTTGTCGGATGTTTCCTTAGAGCGCGCGCGCAAGTTTTTCTTTCAACCGGAAGCCCGTGTGCTAAACCAGGTGTTCATACGTTTTTGAGGTTTCGAAGGGTTTCGGCATGCGCGCGCGACGACGCGCACATTTGCATTTCCTTTGATTTCTTTGCAAGGGGTTCTTGAACACTGCCGATTTGTGACAAAAGAGTACGCGCGCGTAATATTTTTTGCAAAGGGTGACGGGGGGGGGCGTTACAGGGCGGGTTGGCATGATATGGATGCATATTTCGGATGGAAGATGGGGCAGGAACATATGAACATTGCAATGCGAAGGTGTGAATCGTTAGCCCAAGGGGGGATCTTATTTTTCCCGGATAGAGAGTATGTCGTGAGGTACATGTGGCGCGCAACACAGTTACATATTCACAGATGCGTGCCTACATATTTATAGTGTGCAGATTGTGTGGAGCATACTTGGTAATGCAGCCTGTGTTGTGCAACCTACGTGGTACAGCCCATCGGGTGCAACCTATGGTGTGCAACCCACTCTGCTGAACTTGAAGTCGTCATCTCCACTGCTCGCGCAAACATCCCACCCACCCACCCGCAACTTGGTTTGCAAAACCTGTTAAGACCGACTACGGCGACACCAACGACAACTAGGACGACACCGATGACGTCTCCGCCGACTTCGACGACGACAACGACGCCGACGCCGACGACGACGAAGACGACGACGACGACGCCAACGAAGGCGACGACGAGGGAGGAGGAAGGACGACGACGGCGACAACGACGACAACGACGACAACGACGAGGGAGGAGGGAGGACGGCGACGACGCGAACGACGACGAAGGAGGAAAGACGGCGACGCCAACGACGACAACGACGAGGGAGGAGGGGAGACGACGACGACAACGACGACGACGACGGCGACGAAATAGGAGGGACGACGACGAGACGCGGACGACGGACGACGACGACGTGGGAGGAGGAGGGAGGACGACCACGGCGACAACGACGACGGAAACGACCACGACGCCAAAAAGGACGACGACGACGAACACGAGAAAACACAGAGGACGACGTAGGCGACGACGACGACGACGACGCGGGAGGAGGGAGGACGGCGAGGACGACGACGACGACGACGACGACGACGACGACGCAAGAGCGTGCCCGCACGTTTTTGTTGAAAATCCGTGTTGCGAAACCTTGGTTTTTGTATGTTTTTTGGACGCGCGATGTCGAAATCCTTCCGGAACCGATGGGTTTGGAAGGTTTTCGGCATTCGCCCGCGAGGACGCGCACGTCTGCACTTCGTCCTTTTTTTTTGCAGAGGATTCTCGCGACGGCACACGCGCAAGGGCGTTCGACATATTTCGACATGCGCGCGCGCGAAGCCCGTTTGGTAGGATTTAGTGAAAATCTAGAAAAAAAGTGTTCTTAAGATTTCGCAAGAGCTCGCGCGGAAGCTTGTTTAGCAAATCAGTGTTGCGAAACCCTGTGTTTTTGTATGTTATTGGAAAACCGATTGCGACATCCTTCCGGCACCGAAGGTTTTTGAAGGATTTCGGCATGCGCGCGCGACGACGCGCGCGTGTGCACTTCGTCCCATGTGTTGCAAGGGATTCGTGAAAAAGTTCTTTGTTAGAACAAAAAATGTCACCGCATAGCGTTTCTTTTTACAAGGGAACCTCAGGGGGGGGGAACCCGGCCGAGCTGGGATGGTATGGTTTCATATTAAGGATGGACGAGTGTGCAGAAAATATATCAAATCATATTATCCCAGGGGGAACCGATAAATCCGGGGTGGGGGGTCGAGTTTATTCTCTTTTCAGAAAAGAGAATCTACGTGGTGCAACCTATGTGGCACATCCATTGTGGCCAGTTCTGGTCACCGCGTCGGGGCGGCGACGGCGAGCACGGGGCCGCCAGACCGACATTCAGGCCCAGACGACGGGCGGCGACGGGGCGGCGACAGGGCGGCGACGGCCAGCACGGAGCCGCCAGATTGACATTCAGGCCAAGTTCCTCAGAACAGAAGTGAGAACCCCTAAATGCAATAATTGTGTGGTAAGGCGGAGAGACTATCCAGCATAGACAATTATGTTTAGACATCTACATGTTTACGTAATTTACGCTTATATCGATGTTCCCGATCCTTTGACCGTATGTGTGTACGTTTGACGAACAGTAGCTGCAGATCCTTGTCTCTTTACCGCTCTTGTTGTTCCCTTCCTCGCTCTCGTTATATCGTTATCGTTCTCTGTCGAACTCTCTCTCTCTCTTTCTCTCTCTGCCTCCCTCTTTTTGTTGTCCTCTGTGTTCTCTCCTTCGCGGGTGTCTGAATTAGCTCAGTTTCGGTCTTGCCATGCTCGGTGACCCGCTGTGTACCGAGGAGGGGGATCAGGATGATTGCGGTGATGAAAAGGAGGAGGCCCAGCAGGAGAAGGAGGACGGGACGGACGGGAGGGATGCGAGGGAGCAGGAGGAGGTTGAGGAGGACGGGACGGAGGGGAGGGATGAGAGGGAGGAGAGGGGGGTTGAGCAGGAGGATGGGGATGTTGATGGTTGTGTGATGAGGACAAGGAGGAGGATGCAGGATGCGAACAGTTAGGAAGATGAGCGGGGGGGGAGAAGGAGGAGGAGGAGGAGGAAGAGAAAGGGAGGAGGAGAACGGGAGGAGGAAGGGGAGGAGGAGGAGGAGGAGGAGGAGGAGGAGGAGGAGGAGGAAGAGAACGAGAAGAGGAACAGAAAAGAGGGATTAGGAGGAGGAGGAGGAGGAGTCAGATTCTTCAGGGTGAGGAGTTTCGAGATGAGGAGGGATGGGCATATGAAGAACAATTGAGTGGGAGGCACATATTTCTACATATATATATATATATATATATACATATATGTATATGTGCGTGTGTATAAATATATATATATATATAAATAAATAGATATGTGTATTACGTACACATATCAGACTGAGGGGGCCCAGCGGCCATTCATTGTCGCTGGATGCGTGACTGAATAGGACTTGTGTGGTGAGAATTCTGCTTGTTGCGTTGTTGTTGTTGTTGTTGTTGTTGCTGTTATTGTTGGTGTTGTTGTCGACGTCTCACTTCTTAAGAACAATTATTGCCGATCCCCCTCACCAGTGCATACCGTTTTTTCTCCATCAAAGTGTGCCCCTCGACGCTCGCACCCTTTTTTTTGACAGTGAAAGTCTTGGTGCTCAAGCTGTGCCCCTGGCCACCCGGACTACAACAGCAACTGCGCCCGCCCGAGACTTCCTCCAACTTTTCTCAGGACCCCCGCTCCTGAGACTTCCTCACAATTTACTCAGGGTCGGTGCTCCGGCCCGTCACTTCGTCGCAGTGTAGTCAGGACCCCCGCTCCCATCTGAGATTTCCTTACAATTTTCTCAGGGGCGGCGCTCCCGCTTGATACTTCTTCGCAAGTGAATCAAAACTTCCTCGCAATTGAATCAAGACCCCCGCTACCGCCAGAGAACCCTTCACATTTTATTCAGGATAAGCGCTTTCGCTTGTGACCGCCATGCAATTAGTTCAGAAATCGCGCTTACGACGCTCAGAAAACACGCTGCGCCAAGGACGCCGCTTTGATTTACTTAGTAATCACGCTCTCGCCATACTCAGGCATCCCGCTTAAATGTCCCACCCGCCCGACCCGTCCGTCAGGGGATCGCCCGCCCGTCGTGGGCTCCCGCCCGAGACTTCCTTTAGGAACGGCGCTTTCGCCTAGGACTTCCTCGAACGTTCACGCTCTTACCTTCCTGCTCCCTCCTCCCTCTCCCTCCTCC